CCAGAGTAAAAATAAGAAAGGCCACATATTTGGTATCTAACATGCAATTTAGGCCTACAGAAATTTTGAGAGATTTATTTACAGTTATTTTTATTTGTACACTTAGGAAAGATGAGCTACAGCCTTAAGGAATGAATGGTAAACATTAGGAAGTTACAGACTCAATTAAAGTTATAAATTTCTATTCTGAAGAATGTTTTTCATAATGTGGGGCTGAGCATTATTCTTCATAAGAATATTTTGAGTATTCATAGGAAGTGCCAAAAGGTTTATTTAGACACTGGCAGTACCAGCTGTTACTACTTCTTTGGAAGGCTGCTAACATTTGTGGTAAATCATAAGAAGGTACCAGTCTCCTACTGCAGTAGGTAATGGCTTTTAAAATGCTGAGGGAGAATGGAAAGAGTTCTGTGTTGCACTGTTTGATCCTCACAAGTAAGAGTTGACTTCAGATGCAAAAAGATTATTTACTAGTATTAGGTAGGGATTGAGATACATAGAATGTTAGGAATAATAAGGGGTATATGTGAGGAAGAGTAGATACAAGCAAGAGACATCTCTAATATAAACACAAGTTGAAATTCTAAACATATAATATAGCCCATTTGGCTAAAGATGTATTCAGTAAGTTAATCATAAATGTTTATTATGCATCTGTTAGGGCTAGTCAGTGTGTTAGATACTAAAAATTCATTCAGCAATGCAGCAAAGTGCCTGCCTTTTTGAAGTTCACATTCTAGTGGAGGATACTGATTTAAAAAAATAAAACAGACAAAGTAATATGATTCCAGGTAGTGATAAGTACCAGAAAGAAAATAAATTAGAATAATCAGAACACAACAATATATAAAATATTTAGAATGGGAAGTTTAGTAAAATTACTATTTTAGGGAATTGGAGTAAAGAAAACTAAAGTAGGAATAGTTTAGAGCAGCCACTGTTAATAGGACTGAGATAGAATGTCTAATTAAACACCTTTCACTGTAGGTTAAGATGCTGACCTTACTGAAAAAAGTATGGTCATGTCCCACTGAATGACAGAGAAGTCATTAGTATTGCACTGGTGGAATTTATTGGAAATCCATACATCATTACTCTAGGTCAAAGATTGACAACTATAGCTCATGTAGGTCAGTCATCTATTTTATAAGTAAAATGATCTTATTATCAAAAAGCCTAACATATTATCTGGCTCTTGAAGAAAAGGCTTGTCAACTCTTTACATTACCCTAAATAGCTGTTCCTGAGGAGATTTCTTACTAGAGAGATTTTTTTGAAATCTATGAAGTTGAGAGAATGATAAGGAGAATTGCTCTTTTGAATGGTTCTTGAGAACTAGCTTGTACTCAGGATTGTGCTAAGGTCACCATAAAACCAGAAAGGAGAACCTCTTTCTCCTCTATTTATCTCTGTACTATCTCTGCTGACAGACAAAACTTGGCATTATGACAGGAAAAGAAAAAATGTTTAAGCAATTCTGTTCCATATTTGAACAAAGAATTAATTTGGCATGATAATAACTGACACATAAACTGAGTGGCATTTGTAGCTATTTTAGGACAGGTGTAGTTTTTTACTAAGACTTGTTGAAGCAAGGCAGCCTGTGTGGTTGCTGTATATCTTTAGATAATGGGAAAGTGAAATCATAGAGGTAGGTAAAAGCAAATGATATAGATTCTTAAAGATAAGAGTCAAGAGGCTGGAAATGAGTGAATCTTATAAAATGATCAGTTTTCCCATAAACGACTGAAAGTAGTGGTGGTTCTGAATAGACTCGCTGTAGAAGTGGTGAGAAATTGATACCACTTTGAAGGTAAAATGCAGAGACTGATGGAAAATGGCTGTAGTTGGAGGCTGTAGTTGGGGATGGTTCAGTAGTGGTTCAGTAGTAGAGTGGTGCCTGGAACATTATAGATTCTGGGTTTGATTCCAAGCACTTCCCTCCACTCTCCCCACCCCTCCCCCACAAATTTGGCCTCACACACAGATTTGGCCTGGGCAATAGGATGAGTCCATTTCCTGAGACAGTGGAATATTAGAAGTTTGGCCATGTTTTGAGTATGAGGTGGGTCACTTTTATTATAGGCCAAGCAACCCTGTTCAGAAACATAAATGTTCCAAATCAGAAGCTCTCATGGATTTTTGGAATACTAACACAACTTAAAAAAAAAAAAAAGTATGTGTACACATTTCAAATTTTAAAAAAAATCGGGACTCTGAAACATTTCCAACCCCAAGCATTTTGGATTGGGAATAACCTATGTTTGAAAATTGTTTCCTTTTGCTTACATTTGGTTAACCACACATACAGTCATATAGACAAGACACCTAGTTTCAATAGCAGTGGGGACATACAGTGCTACAAAGAACAAGAATATTTCTGAACACCTTGACTGACTTCCATACTCCACGAAGTCCAAGTAGAAATGTCCAATAAATAGGCTGTTGAGTTTGACTTTGGCCATTCAGGGTAAAGTTTGGAATTTATGAATGGTCAGTTAGTGAAACCTTGGACGGTAAATGAGTGTAAGAAGAACATTGGGATATTTTTAATATTTAGGGTATGAAGACTCAAAAAATCAGAAGACTGAGAAGGAAGAGTGAGAAAACAGAAAAATTAAAGACAGGTCATTAACTGGTCTTTACTAATAAATAATAATTGTGATACATTTTTCATCTGTTTTAACTAAGAATTTGTTTTAAGATTTCTTAAAGGTCCTGTATATTTTAAAGATATTTTTTGCTATTGGAATATTTTATTCTGCTGTAATTTCCAGTTGTTTTTACCTATATACCTTAAAGGGAATATTTCCTGTCTTTGGAAAGATTTAAAGCTTTACAGTTCAGTATGTCTTGAATTGATGTGGAATTGATTTAAACTTCAGTTGCATTAAGTATATTCAGGCTGTTTCGTATCTTATCAACACCATCAAGTTCCTGAAGGTTTTTCATCTTTACGAACTGAAATGATATTTATTAAATAGTACTTGTCATCTCTTTGCTATTCCTAGCTTCTCACAAAGTACTTCTGTCCATCCATATTTCTGTTCTTAGTTGCTTACTTTTTGGGGAGAAGACTATATATAGACATGAATTGCTGAATCATGTTGTAATTCCAAGTTCAATTTTTCAAGGAATATTTTTTATAGCAGCTGCACTTTTATATCCTACTAGTGATTCATAGTTCAAGATCTTCAAGATTTCTTCATTTCTTCACCAAAATTAATTATTTAATTTATTGGTTGTGGGGTTTGAACTCTGGCTCTGGTCACTGTCCCTGAGCTCTTCAGCTCAAGGTTAGCACTCCACCACTTGAGGTACTGTGCCCCTTCCAGTTTTCTGGTGGTTAATTGGAGATAAGATTCTCATGGTCTTTCCTGCCCAGGCTGGCTTTGAACCATGATCCTCAGATCTCAGCCTCCTGAGTAGCTAAGATTACAGGCATGAGCTACTGGCTGCCTGGTTGTTTTTGTTTTTGTTATTAAATAATTATTCTAACAGCTATGTAGTAGAATCTTATTGTGGATTTGAGTTTCATTTTCCTATTGATTAGTGATTTTGAACATCTTTTCATGTGTTTATTGGCTACTTACATATTTTCATTGGAGAAATACCTACCTAAGCATGTTCATTTTTAATTTTTTTAGTGTTTTTGAATTTTAGGAATTCTGTAAATATTTATGATTACCAGATATATCATTTACAAATCTTTTGTCTTATTCTGAGTTGCTTTTCTACTTGGTCATATTCTTTGCACAAAAGTTTTAAAATTTGATGATAATATTGGATTTTTTTGCTTTTGTTTGTATTTTAGTGTAATGCATAATCATTGCCAAAAGCTCTTTGAAATTTATGGTTTTTGATGTTAATTTTTAGACCTATCATTCATATTTAGTTTTCTTTGTATGGCATCAGGTAACTCCCACTTTTTATGGTTTTGCACGTAAACATTCAGTTTTTCTGCTCCCCTGTCTTCTATTGAATGACTATGGCATTCTTGTTAAAAATACATTGACTGACTTTAGTTTTATTTTTTCTATTGATAAATATGTGGCTTTCTTCCAGTTCTATGTTGTTTTGATGACTATATTTTTGGGGGAGGGTGTTAATGAGGAGTATTAATCTGGTAGCCAGATGCCTTACTGAATTATTTTACATTTTTTCATTTTCTTGTGCTGAAGTGCAGTTATCTCTAATATAGATAATATTGAAATGCTAAGTCTCAAATATTACTAATTGTATAAATTTAAAATAATGGTAAATACTTCTTAATAGTATTTCAGCAAATCATGCAGCTTTTGGTTTGAGGTTTTCATCAGAAAGCTTAATTGCAGCCAGACTCTAGTAGCTTACACTTACAGTGATAGGCACTTAGGAGGCTAATACAGGAGGACCAAAGGTCAAGGCCATCCTGGCCAGAAAAATTAGTAAGACCCCTTCTCAACTCATGGCTTAGTACAGTAGCATGTGCCTGTCTTCCCATGCCAGTGAGAGCCTGAGATTGTAAAGATCATGCTTCCAAGCCAGCTCAGGAAGAAGATTGTAAGAACTTTGTCTCAGAGGGAAACTGGACTTAAAGCATGAATCTGTGATTCCAGCAATGTTGGGAAGCCTACAAGTAGGCACATTGTGGTTCAGGTACACCCCTAGGCAATAAGTCAAGGTATTCTACTAAAAAGAACCAGTGACACAGTGTTGGAGGTATTACTTATTACTCAGAGTGTAGCACCAGCTTAGCCGGTGTAAGACCCTTAGTTCCAACTTCAGTTCCACAAAAAAAAAATTAAAAAGTAAATTGCACTTTGGTACTTAATAGTAGTTTGCTTTTTACTGCCATTATCAAGGAAAGAATATTGGTCTGAAAGTATCTAGAACTGCCCAGGGCAGGATTTTAGATGTGTGTTTGTATACATATATGTATGTGTGTATACATACATGCATATGTATATATGTGTGTCAGAAGACCTTAACTAATTGATCTTTTCTGGTTTGTTTTTTAGAATGGCCAAAGTTTTCTGGTCTTGGATGAACAAAGATTTTCAAAAGAAATTCTTCCCAAGTACTTCAAGCACAATAACATGGCAAGCTTTGTAAGGCAACTTAATATGTGTAAGTATAGGTATCGATTTGTTTTACTGTTCTCAGCCACTTATTTAACTATCTTTTTTTATTATGATGGTAAAGGAAATCCATAGAAACATCATTACTTACTTTTGTATAATTTTAGACTAAATTTTTATTTTTTTTCAGATGGTTTTCGTAAAGTAGTGCACATTGATTCTGGAGTTGTAAAGCAAGAAAGAGATGGTCCTGTTGAATTTCAGCATCCTTACTTCAAACAAGGCCAGGATGACCTGTTGGAAAACATTAAGAGGAAGGTGAGATAACATGAACATAAATTTAAACTAGGGTTTAAATGTAGTTTATTAAGGATTTAAATGTAGATTATACTATAATATGGTTCATCAAAACTTTTGTTTCAGCTGTTGAAATTAAGAATATATAGGTATTGGTTGTTGAATTATTCTCCCTCCCCACCCCACTATTTGCCTCCTTGTTCATTGTACTGAGGTCTTAGTCCTCAAACATTTTTGCAAAAGAAAGAAAATTTTCACAATCTTCTGACTGAGGTAAAGGATCATAAATTTTAATAAAATGGCTCATTCCTCCTAAGTTAGATGAAGGAAAGTAAGCCTCTACTAGAATATTAGCTCTCTGAAAGAACTTTTTCTATAATGTAATTCCCTGTTCTATATTCAGTGCCTAAAATATTAAGTCCCTTTGATATCATGGATGGGCATCAGTATTACTAATTCTAAAAATTCAGACTGAAAGAAAAATGACTGTATAAATTAATTAAAATGTGGAATGTGTGAATAAAGAAGTTTGGTGTAGTTTGTCAGAAGGAAAAGGAAAATAAGTTTCTGTTCCTGGAAATTTAGAAGTAAGTGTTCCTTGCTTTCTCTCCTACCGAACTGTAAAGTTTATTATTTTCCTAGAATTCTGTCCTGCACTTTTTGAAATCACATCTAACTTCCTTAATGGGATATAAAACCTTCTTAAAATTACATTTATGGATGTTCAATACACATTTGATTATCTAAGTCTACTTTTCGAAAGGTTTCAGCTTCAAAACCAGAAGAAAATAAAATTCGTCAGGAAGATTTAACAAAAATTATGAGTAGTGCTCAGAAGGTTCAAATAAAACAAGAAACCATCGAATCCAGGCTTTCAGAATTAAAAAGGTAAAGTATTTTTCCAAATAAAATCCTAATATAGGGTATTGGGTATGTGTGTTGGAGATTGAAGGTGTTGGGTGTTTTAAGTACTATTGTTTTTCTGCACATATTTTCTCTATACTTGGGAAAATTAGGGGGGGGAAAGCCTTGATAGATTTTATCTTAATATTTTACATTAATCAAAAGAACATTTAAATCTAAGCACACCAAAAAAAAATCTAGTACATAAGTCTTGATGATGAAACAGTAGATCTATAAGTTACTGCAGAAAATAGAATTGTATATGGTATTCATACACAAATAAGGGTCCACATTAAAAAATCCTACATATTCATATTTTTTATTCTTTTTTTATGGCTATTTCTTAAAATTCCTTGATGTGACCCACTTCTTGGGAAAAGTAGGACACAATAGGAAGAAAAACAAATGAGATAGTTGGCCTACTTGATACTTACTTCACAGAAGCTTGGAAAACTGTTACTCAAAGTTTTTCAGAAACATTTTGTTTTACTGCATTACTAGGTAGCACTTTCCTACCTTACCACAATAATAACTTGTATGTATTTTAAGTGTGTTTACTTCTTACTAAGTAGCTGAGATTTTTTTTCTCTTTAATAGTTGCCAACAGCTTGAAAGTTATTTTAGATGTCTTCTTTCTTGTTTCAAATGTGGGACATTAGTTATGCCTTCCTGAATTATCTTCATTAAGAGTAACCTTGCACTTTGATTCATTGTTTGAATAACACTTAATCTTTCCCTTTTACGTATTTTTCTTTATGCCATTATTGTTTGCTGGCTTCTCTCTCTAAATATTTTGGACTTATTTTGCTCCTAAGAAAATTGTATCTCCGAATCAATCATTCTTTAATTCTTTTTTTTTTTTCTGGTGGTACTAGGCTTAGAATATTTGAGCCATACCCTCAAGCTTTTCATCCTTTAAGTTCTAATCCTTCTTCTCCTCTTTTAATAGCAGATAAGAGCATCTTTGAATTTCAGTAATGCAATAATCAGTAAATGATGAAAAGTCTTTTTTAGTACCTCTGTATGCAAATGAACATCTTTTATAAGTGCAGATTGAAGAAGGTGTCATTTGTAGAGATTAACAAAAATTGAAAAATTTAAATATTTTGTTATTGGATTGTCTTTTCTATCTTTTCACCATTCTACTAAGATTTAATAGCACAATTTCAGTTTTTTAAAGAAATGAAGGAAGAAAAAGAATTACTACTATTAGAGAAGTTATTGGTTTCATCTTTTTTTTAAGACGTTTTTATTTTTAATTTTTGCTTGAGACAATGTAATAGTTTTGGAGTTTGGCTTTAACAGTTATGGAATTCTCTCTGACATTTTGGGAGATTCATTTCTGAACATCCTCATCTCATCTAGAAAAATATGGTAGTGTTTCCTTTCTTGGCAGTGTTTAGAGAGGATTTAAATAATTAATACACATAAAATGCTTAGCACACTACCTGGAGCATATTAAGTGCTAGGTAAATGTCACTTACCTTTGTTTATAAGCTGAGTCATAAGGTCTGAAGTCAGTTGGTAGCTGTAGTTTAAAGGTTACCTTGTTTTTAAACATAAAGTACTGAACCAGATGTTCAAAAGGAGTAAATTGCCTACTACTAGGTAAATGTAGGAACTTGTCTTTTAAGTTTTGTATCTGTATTTCCCTAAGTAGTAGATAATAAAAAAGTGAGGGCTGGGAAGGTGGCTCAGTGGTAGAGCGCTTGCCTTGCATGCATGAGGCCCTGGGTTTGATTCCTCAGCACCACATAAGCAAAAAAAAAAAAAAAAAGCCAGAAGTGGGGCTGTGGCTCTAGTGGTAGAGCGCTAGCCTTGAGCTGAAGAGCTGAGGGACAGCGCCCAGGCCCAGAGTTCAGGCCCCACGACCGGACCAAAAAAAATAAAGAAGTGATTCTAGCATTGTGTTAAGATATCAAGATAAAGGTAATTGAACAAGTTTTCCTGATCTAATATAAATATGTAATATACTTTTAAAAAACAGGTATAATTAACTTTTCCAATATTTATTTTTTAGGAGAGGTGGGCAGGCATTTGGTTTTCATTATGGTAGTATGTATTATAAGCTAAGCTAGACCTTACTCTAGTCTAAGCTGATCTTGGTCTCATGATCTTTTGCCTTCTAAGTATTGCTTTAGTATTTTTAATTAATGATATTGAGATTTGTTTTTCTGATTAACTCTTATTTTGTTTGGTTTTTAAATAAATTATAACAGTGAGAATGAGTCTCTTTGGAAAGAGGTGTCAGAATTAAGAGCAAAGCATGCACAACAGCAACAAGTTATTCGAAAGGTAAAGATTTTTTTTTCCTCTGTGACTATAATTCACATTGTTTAGTAAATACTGCTTATGAGTAGCTAGTAATTGGGCTTAATTTCTTTATTTAATACATAATAATATGTATGTGTGTATATGTGTGTATACATATGTACATATACATGTATGTTCATATATATGTATGTGTATTTCTCTTTACAGATATGAAATCATATTAAACCAAGTTATGTATATGCTTTCTAATAGCATCCATTTCTCATTAACTAAAAATGATTATTTCATGTTCTCAGATATTTCAGTAGCTTTTAGTAAATGACATTTTGCATGGTAGAACAGTTTTAAAATCCTTTGTGCTGAGTGGCTTAAATGATGCTTGTTTCTTAGCATATGTTTATTATAAAACAATCTTTGAGAGTTTTATCTTTTTGTGGTTTTTTTTTACTGCTTTTTTTACTGGTATAGATGCAATTTTCAGATTACTTGACCACATTATGAGTTTATCAGTATTTTTTATTGTATGTATGCCATTATTAGTATATGTATATTTCATTTTAGGTATGTCATTATTATTCTATGCATAAAGCAAATAGTGTTGTAAAATAGATTCTGGATGCTAATTTGTAAGCTTAAAATCAATAGAAATGTTGGAATCCCTCCCTGGCATTGTGTGCTTGTGATTTAGTCTTTGTGTATCAACTTTGATTTGTTAATAAGAGATGAAACATAAAAGTCATTAAGGCAGCTGTTTTTTTCTTATGAGTAAACTAGACTAAGCAGTAGGTCTTCTTGTTTCTGCTTAGAAAGCCCTTGACTTAAAAGTAAGGCTCTGCATAACTGACAAAATCGGCATCTAGTGAATCAAGCTTAGGGCAGAGATGAATAGCTCTTGGAGCCTAGTAGATACAGTAGTTTTCTGTATTTTTCATTCATAAAATGAAGAGTGAATATAGTGGAATGCAGTTTGAGTATTGAACATATTTGTAAGCCTCTAAGACTCTACTTTTTTTCCCCTGAAGCATAGATAGGTAGTGGTTACATTGTATTTCAACTTTTTGTGAATGTTAATGTTGTTTGCTCAAATTTGTTTTTTTTTTGTGTGTGTTTGATTCTGATACAGGGGATTGAACTCAGGGACTAACACTTAGCAGGTGCTCTACCTCTTCAGCCATGACTGCAGTCTCTTTTTGCATTGGCTGTTTTTGAAGTAGAGTCTTTATGTTGGGACTAGAATGCCTGTGATTTTCCTACTTCTGCTTAACCATACTATGAGGATGCATGTGCCACTGTACTCAGCCATTGTGCTCTTCTCCCAAGATACAATAACAGGCACAAATCACAACTTCACCCAACCATTACTGAGATGGCATCTCAGAACCTTTCATGCTTAAGACTGGCCTCATATTTTTGATTCCCCAATCTATGCATCCCAAGGAACCAGGAGTATAGGATTGAGCTATGCACCAATAGTTTTGAATCTCTTGTGTGAGTAGAATTTATATAATGCCCATTCAGGAGGCTAAGATCTGAGAATCACGGTTCAAAGCCAGCCCTGGCAGGAAAGTCCATGAGACACTTTATTTTATTTTTTTATTGTGAAAATACTGTACAGAGGGGTTACAATTACATGAGCAAGATAATGAGTACATTTCTTATCGTCCGTGAGACTCTTTATCTCCAATAAACCACCAGAATACTGGAAGTGGTGCTGTGGCTTAGTGGTAGAGTGCTATCCTTAAATTGAAGAGCTGAGGGACAGCGCCCAGGCCCAGAGTTCAAGCCCCATAACCGACAAAAACAAAAAAAAACAACAAAAAATCTTATATAATGCATAACAACTAGTACTATTTATTCTGCCTGTGGAATTGGTTCTAACTGCTGTGTAATGTTTGGTCTTGGATTGAGTTTACATTTGTCAGGTACCACTTACAGGTCCTCAAGTTCATAAGTTGGATGCTGTAACTGTCTCCTCAGGAGAATAAGAAATCTCTACCTATGATGCAGAAGTATCAAAAGAGAACTAAGATAACCAGGTGGCAGTGGCTCACACCTGTAATCCTAGATACTTCAGGAGGCTGAGATCTGAGGAAGCCAGTTCGAAGCCAGCCCAGGCAGAAAAGTCCACATGAGATCCTTATCTCCAGTTGACCACTCAAAACCCAGAAGTGCTACTATGGCTCAAGTGGTAGAGCACTAGCTTTGAGCACAAAGAGGCTCAGGGAAAGCACCCAGGCCTTGAGTTGAAGACCTACAACTGACAAAAAAAAGAACTAAGAGAATATATTTAGCTGGTAATTCAATGTCATGTAACATTCATAAATTAAAAAAAAAAAAACAAAACAAAACTGAGGTTGACCAGGAGCCATTGCTCATATCTGTAATCCTAGCTACTCAGGATCTGAGATATGAGGATCACGGTTTAAAGCCAGCTCAGGCAGGAACATCTGTGAGACTTTTATCTCCAATTAACCACCAGAAAACTGGAAGTGGCGCTGTGGCTCGCTAGCTTTGAGCTGAAGAGCTCAGGGACAGCACCCAGCCCCAGAGCTCGAGACCCACAACCAACAAACCCCAAAAAACTGAAGTCCAAAGATAACCTTTAAACCTAAATATTGTCTTTATTTAGAGCTGTTTGCATTTTCACTTGCATTAACAATTTAATATCTCTAATGCTGTCTTAAAGTGTTTACATTTTTGTCCATTGAAAAGTTGTTATTGATTGTAAAGCAAACCACTTAGTAGTCTCTTTGGAGAGAGATATAAAATGAGGCCCTGGGTTCAGTTCCTCAGTACCACATAAGCAGGGAAAAAAAGCCAGAAGTGGCACTGTGGCTCAAGTGGTAGAGTGCTAGCCTTGAGGTGAAGAACTGAGGGACAGCGCCCAGGCCCAGGGTTTAGGCCCCATGACTGGACCCCCCCCAAAAAATGTTTAAGGTATGTATAGGCATTTTAATCTGTTTTAATCATGTAATTTACATTTCACAAAGCTGAGAAGCAAGTCTTCTTTAGAGTCTAGTCCTTCAGTCATTTTTGTTTTATATTCATAATCTCTCAGTGATACACTGCTTTTCATAGTTTACCTTTTTAGTGTTTTTATGTAGGAAGTTGACAGTGTAATTCCCACATATATACATAAGGCAATGGTTCTCATATATCAGTGTTAACTAAAATGCTTGCTAAAACATGTTACTGAGTTCCACCCTTGGAATTTTATTCTCAGTAATTGTGTAGGGAAGTTGAGAATTTACATACCTAACACGTTCCTAAGCGATTGCTGCTGGACTGTAGACCAACTTTTAAGAAACAAGGCTATAAAATATGAGCGTTTGTGTACATATTTTGATCAGTTTAATAGATTTCCTTACAAATTGGCTGAAAATCAAATCATTCTGTTAACTATGAGCAGCAAATTTTGGCAGATACATCTCCACTTGGTAACTTTTTCTAACTTGAAAATTTATGATCTCTTTGGAGAAAATTAGTGATTTCTTTTGCCTATAATTATATTACCTATTATGAAAATAATATTGCCTATCAAATATCAATTTACTGTTGTGCCTCATAGTATAAAATGTGACTTCAGCAAAACAAATAACTGATTTAAATTAGTATTTTTAAATTCATAATATGCACCCAACTTCCAATGTTGATGTGTGAGATACAATGTAATCTAGAATAGAGAACATCTGTCATCTGAATCAGTTTTATAAGACTTGATGATGTAGACTAAATGAATGGTTCTGTGATGTGTTTTTATTTTTCAGATTGTCCAGTTTATTGTTACATTAGTTCAGAATAACCAACTCGTGAGTTTAAAGCGTAAAAGGTAAGTTTTTATGATAAAACATTTGGATGTATATATAAACCAACAGTTTAGTGTCTATAACCATTAGTTTCTAAACATGAATGTCCTAGATTTGCCAGATGTACCAAAATAACAGTTCTTGTTAAATTTCATTCTTAACATCCTAACTTACCTTAAAGATTGAATGCCCATTATCTGAAATGCTTAGAATCAGAAGTGGTTTGGATTTCAATTTTTTTTCAGGTTTTGGAGTATTTGCATAAACATGAAATATCTTTGTGATGAGAGATATAAATCTGAACTTGAAATTTCTTTATGTTTTATACATACCTTATGCACTTAATCTAAGGTAATTTTATACAACATTTTAAATAATTTTGTGCATGAGGCAAAGTTTATAAATAAAGTAAATGAAAGGGCTGGGAGAATCTTTCCCCCCTTTAGGGACCCTGAAAAACTGAGTGTTGTGTGCTTGAATTTGATATGAAGTGAATTTGGAACATCATGTTGCTGCTCAAGAATCTTTGAATTTTAGAACATTTCAGATTTTGGATTGTCAGAATAGTGTTAACGTGTCTTCTTCATGCTGACATTTTCTTACATTTTTGAGTGCTAACTTTGTTACATTTTGAGTGCTGACTTTACAGATGTACCTATGGTTAATAAAGAATCTGTTTTTCATTCAAATTAGCATCTTAAAGTAGCAGTAGAAAATCCAAGTGAAAGGAAGTCTTAGAAAAAGAACCTTTTGTCAGAAGAAAACAATTATTTTATTTGATCTTTTACATTCTTAACCATAATTTGGTTGCTATACCTGTTAGTATATTAACTACTGTGGCCAGTGTCACATTTAAGCCAGATGAATAATTGTCAACAGGCATAGCTGGAAGGTTAAAAAAAGATTACCATCAGGTGCCAGTGGCTCACACTTGTAATCCTCTCTAGCCAGTAGACTGAGATCTGAGTATTGAGGTTCAAAGCCTGTTCAAACAAGAAAGTCCTCCTTAGACTCTTATCTAATTAACCACCAGAAAGCCAGAATTGGAGCTGTAGCTCAAGTGGTAGAGCACTAACCTTGATGGAAAAAGCTAAGGTACAGTAACCAGGCCCTGAGTACAAGTTTGATTATGATTAGAGCTTTGTGGCTTTAACTCTTCCATTAACTAGTAATATACCTGTTGATATTTTAGTATGTAAGTGTAGTTTATAAAGAACTGTATAGTCCAGTAGACATTGTGGTATGTTTCAGAGTTGTTTATATTGTATTTACTGTAACAAAAGTTATGTGGAAAACCAGAAAACTAAAAGTCTTAGTTTCATCCCTAATTTCTATTGCTAAGATACATAGAAGAATTTCTGTGTATTCTTACTGAAGATTTTTGTTCACTATTGAAGTAAACATTTTTCAATATAGTTAAATTTCTAGAAGGTTTAACCATTTATTTCTGAATATTTCTTCTGATTTCCAGGCCTCTACTTCTAAATACTAATGGAGCCCAAAAGAAGAATCTATTTCAGCACATAGTCAAAGAACCAGCTGATAATCACCATCATAAAGTAATTTTTCATGTATATTTTATATTTATTTTCTCAAACTAAATTTTATTATGGCAGTATTTCAAGGAAGTTAAGTGAATAATAATGTAAGTGTTCATTCCCTAGCTCTATTAAATCATTAAATTTTTTGTTATTTGCTTTAGATTATTTAAGTAACAAATTATTGCAAATATAATTGTTCTACTTGCCTAATTCCAAGTTTGCTTTTCTGTTTTTCTATCTTGCATTAATGTTAATTTCCATGCTGGTTTTTATGTGTTAACTTAGGAACAGTACATTATGTATGTATCTATCTGTAGCTGCTTTTAGTTGGTGCTACTTTTGGGATTTTTAAACCACATTTAGTGCATTTCAACCCTGTATAAAAATTGAATATCATATAATTATGATTGTGCAATGTCTTGTAGTTTTTGTTGGTTGTTTCCAACTTTTTAAACAAATATGCATTAAATAGGCTGCTTTTCTCTAGTAATTTTAAGATACTTTTTTTTTTTTTTTGTCGGTTGTGGGGCCTGAACTCTGGGCCTGGGCGCTGTCCCTCAGCTCTTCAGCTTATGGCTTGCACTCTACCACTTGAGCCACAGTGCCACTTCCAGCTTTTTCTGCTTGTGTGATGCTGAGGAATCGAACCCAGGGCCTCATGCATGCAAGGCAAGAGCTCTACCACTAAGCCACCTTCCCAGCCCCTTACCTTTGTTTTTGTCACAAGCTCTCTGGATAATTTGTGCAACTCTGATGGCATATAAGTCTACCATCAAGTCCAGAGACCAGACCTATTTTTATGATCTTAAAATCTTTGTTTCTTTCATTTTTAGTGGTGTTGGGAATGGACTTGAGTACCTTCTTAAACAGGCTGGCAAAGTACTTCTACTACTGAGCTACTATTGTTACTTTTAGGTCATAGAATTCTTAAATACTGCTTTGGATTTTATTACTGAGCTATGAAAATGATTTAGTTCTTGGGCAAAGTAGCACTAACATCATATTTAACTCCTAGTCCCACTTTTATTTCTAAATTATCAAGTGTATCTATCTTGCTTATAGGATTGTATGCTTATGTTAAACAGATGAAGATTTTTAGCCAACTGTATTTATGTATTTTAAACTGCTTCATTTTTTTCTTTTTTTTTTTCTTGGTTCTGGGCTTTGTGTAGTCAAGTTTTTTTCACTCGAGTCTGGTGCTCTACAATTTGAGCGAGGCCTCTGTTCTGGCTTAGTTATGTGAAGATGAGATTCTTGAGGATTTGTCTGTCTGGCCTTGCCTCAAACTACAGTTCTCAGATCTCAGTCTTCTGAGAACTAAGATTGTAGACAAAAGCTATCAATATGACTGTTTCATATTTTTTACCTCTTGGTAACTAACTAGTGTTGAACCCTTTTGTGTTATAATCATTTTTACATTATATTTTTTGTATTATAATAACTTCAGTTTTGAGAGTTGGATTTTTAAAAAATGGGTAACTGGTGAACGTACCGGTATCTTAATTAAAAAATTAAAACTTTGCTAAAAAATGTCAAATTGACATATAACTATAGAATAGTTGAAGTGTTTTCTCTTACACTAAGAACAAAACATCACAGTTGTTTGCGTGTTTGCGATAAAATAATCCCCATCCATGTGTTTTCACATATCTGATAATGCTTGAACGTTTGAAGGCTTAAAACTTTTTTTATTCTTTAGTTATTAAAAGTGTGTTAGAATTTGAGTGCCACCTGTAATCCTAACTATTCAGGTGGCTGAGATCTGAGAATTGCAGTTTGAAGACAGGCTAGGCAGGAAAGTCCATGAGACTTTTATCTCTAATAAGCTACTTAGAAAAAGCCGAAAGTGGAACTGTGGCTCAAGTGGTAGAGTGCTATAACCTTGAGCAAAAGAAAGAAGCTCAGGGATACCACCAGACCCTGAGTGGAAGCCCCAGGACTGACAAAAAATAAGTATGTTAGAATTTGAAGATTTTTCCATAGAAACATTTTTGGACATGATGTTTTCAGGCTGTTTTACAATAAAAGTAATAGTTATATATACTACAGATAATATGATTCATGCCTGTGAATTGATAGAAAAGTCCAAGAAAAGGACTTTGCTATTTTGCTTATGATTGTGTCTACAGTAAATATCTGTAATTATGTTATCTGTGCAGTTGTTTTTTAAATGATATCTTTTATAGTCCCTTTGATTTTGCTGTTTCTCCCTCTCTTTTAAGGTTCCACACAGTAGGACTGATGGTTTAAAAACAAGAGAACGGATTTCAGATGACATCATTATTTATGATGTTACTGATGATCATGCAGATGAAGAAAATATCCCAGTTATTCCAGAAACTAATGAAGATGTTATATCTGATACCTCTAAGTAAGGAGCTTACGAGATAAAATTTGTGAACTATTGGCACTTTCCTAGTTAAAGTTCTTCTGAAAGAGTAGTACCTACCTATCTCATATTTAAATTATTTAACTGGAAAATTAAGCCAAATTGTTAAACAGATAAAGCCTTCCTCACAAAGTAAATGACAATTAGTTGATCCTTATTTTTGTTTTTGAAACTAAATACCTCTTATTGATATTTGTGGCCTTGTATTTATTTATTCATTCATTCATTCGTCATTCATGAAGCTTGAACTCGGCCTGGGCATTGTCCCTGAGCTCTTCAGCTCAAGGCTAGTGCTCTACCACTTGAGCCACAGCACCACTTCCGTTTTTCTGGTGGTTAATTGGAGATGAGTCTCATAGATTTTCCTGCTCTGGCTGGCAATCCTCAGATGTCAGCCTCCTGAGTAGCTAAGATTACAGGCGTAAGCCACCAGCATCCAGCTGGTATTGTATTTTATGAACTATCAATGTTTATGATTAAGCTACCTACCCAAGAAATATAAGCCTCTTAATATGTTTTCAGAAGTTTCTATGGAGAATGGTGGATAGAGTGAATTTATTGAATGTCTGAAAGTGTAATTGGTTCTTCTTTCTCATTTTACTGATCTAGCTGTAGCCAGTACCCTGATATTGTTATTGTTGAAGATGACAATGAAGATGAGTATGCACCTGTCATTCAGAGTCTAGATCAGAGTGAACCAGCAAGAGAATCCTTCAGTTCAGGAAGTGATGTCACCAACCCTCTAATGTCTAGTGCTATCCAGCTAAATGGGTCATCTAATCTGACCACAGAAGATCCTGTGACCATGATGGATTCCATTTTGAATGATAACATTAATCTTTTAGGAAAGTGAGTGCTCATAGATGTGTGAGGAACTAATTGCTTTCTCAACTTCACATTCTTTTGTATTTTTAGTTATCTTTCTTTCAGAGGGTCAACCCATCCTGTCTGTTTTTCTGTTGGTCAAGGTTGAGCCATGAAATGAAATGAATTAACTAAATTAAGGGTAGACTTGGAGTGTTTAAATTTTTTTTTTATTTTTTTGGCAGTACTGATGTTTGAACTCAAGGCCTTGTGCTTGCTAGGCTGATGCTTTACCACTTGATCTACTCTCCAGCCTTTTTTGCTGGTGAGTTTTGAGGTACGGTCTCAAATTTTAATGGTGGAACTGGCCTTGATCATGATCTTTCTGCTCTCAGCTTCCTGATAAGCTAAGATCACAGTCAAACTACCAGCACCTGTCTAGTTTTGGAGTTTTTGTTAGCAGTTCCTCAGATTTTTATAAATGAAATATTTGTTTGGGTATCTATTTCTACTAGTACTATGAAATAGAATAATTGCCATTAAAGGATTTAGGACAAAAAGAAAGCCAGTGATTAATGCTAGTGAGATTAGTATAAAAGTGATTAGAGTAGTAGAAGTATTAGAGTCTGAGTTAGAAGATAAGGTACATCTGACTATTATTGCAGTAAACTCTGAAATTTGTGTGAAGGCCATAAGCTCCCAATCAAATTATAAGGAATCCCAAATTTTGAATGGAATATTTCAAATGTAAGAAATGGTAAGCATTCAGCAGCTAGTAAGGTTGTAATGTGATTGTAAATGTAAGAATAAGGAAACCTAATAAATATTCAATCTACTTAATCTTTTTTTTTTCCCCCTTAGAGTTGAGCTGTTGGATTATCTTGACAGTATTGATTGCAGTTTAGAGGACTTCCAAGCTATGCTATCAGGAAGACAGTTTAGCATAGACCCAGATCTCCTGGTTGATGTAGGTACTTTGGGTAATTTTTGCTGTACTGATAATTTATATACTTATTCATATTACTTAAAAAATCAATACATCTTCTTGTTTTTATATTCTATACTGGTTTTTTTTCTTAAATGAATATTGTCAGAAAGGATGATGATCTCTGTTAGGAACATTCAAGGAATGTCGTCATTACTGTTACTCTGAGTAGCAGTTCAGTTAATATTTCGTAACATTTACTAGTACTACTAAATCTGGCCTTGTCCAGACTTGTTGCTGTGCTGTTTAATTCTGAAGTAATGTATCATTGAATAAAAATCTGTGGAATTAGTAATAGAAGTACCTAGCCAGGAAACACTGTGGGAACACTTTTTAATCCTTTGGGAATGAACATTTTCCATTCAACTGTGTTTTATTACATATGCTATATTGTTTTATATTTTTGTATCTTGTGTCCTAAAGTTTTCTTGCTTTAATCCTTATCACTACCTGTATGAATTCAATTCTCGTGGTGTCAGAACTGTGAATCTTTGTCTAACCATATTACTCACTCATTGCTCACTCATTGCTACTCATCCGTACCTTATGCAAAGCTTTGTATGTAGTCCAGCCTGGTCCCCCTCAGATGAACCTTGATCTCTCTACTATTTCCACATTTCTTCTTCATTTTTTTCTGTCTTTATTCTGGAAAGTTTTTTGCTCTTTTCTATGTTCTTGCCTTACATTAAAGCTTCTCTTACCTCAAAAGATTCTAGTCTTATTAGTTAAAGGTGTCATTATTATTAATGAGGCTAAAAGGAGTCAGTCCTTCTTATTACTTCAGTCTTATTTTAGTTCATTATTTTGCCCTTTACCTCTGGATTTCTCATCAGTCATTGTTCCATGGCATAATCGCTCTTCCGGAATCATCAGCACCACAAAAGCTATAGTTTTCCTTCCTATGCTTACCAGTTATAATCTTTAGTGAATTCTATCAACTCTGTTCACTCATTCTGGAGACCTTTCTCAATCTCTATCCCTTACAGGCAAGGATGTGGCACAGGTAGTAAACACTTGCCTAGAGTATCTTTCCTCTAGATACCTCTAGAATGAATTCTGGCTATTGGTCATTTTAATTTAACTTGGAATATTATTTCTCTTAAATTTTCCTTGTTTGCAGAAAGTAATTTACTGTGCCCTGCTGCTCTCAGGAGCTGTGATTGTTTTCAATTATGTATCATTTCTTTGAGCAAGTTAAACCAATTTATCTTGCGTTCTGCTTCTCAATTTTTTTCCTCTGAACTTAGTTACTAATTATTAACTTTGCCTTCAGTGGATACAAATCATAAAGTGTTTATGCTTTGCTCTTTTACTATTTTTGTCTTCACTACAAAATTTTAGAAATGAGTATTACCTATTTTTACTCATTCTATTCTGAAACTATGACTGAAATGTCTGGCTTTTTTACTCTTAGCACTGTTTCTAGGTATTGGGTTGTTTTGTTTTACATAGTAGGCTTTGTGTGTTCTGTGTTTTTGTTTGTTTTGATTTGGTTGTTTTTATCATTCAGTGATTTACTGGGAGGAAATTTGTTTAGAATCATATGGGTTTGAGTTCTGTTCCTGCTCACATTATTAAACATGGAAAAACCTGTCTTTTTCTGTTTCTCCATCTTTTAAGTCTACATAGCTTATGCCTAACATGAAGGGCATTGAAAGAATTCTAATTGGCATTATTGGTATTACAATATTATCAAATATTATACATCAAAATTGTGTTTGTTGATTTTAGAGGTACTAAACCTTTGTTTTCTTTTTATCTCTCTAACCATTCTGTTTCTTCTAAGAGCTTTTCTTCCTGCAGTCTTGTATTTCCGAGACACTCATTTTTGTACCCTCTTTTATTTTTGCCTCCCCTGTAAAGATCATTTGTTTTGTAGGATTACTCTGAAATGTGTTATCTCCAGTTCTTAGTAAACTTGGCTTCAATTCTAATTCTTTGCCTTTGATAGCATCAGTTGTATCCTCAGATTATTTGTGCTCAAAACCAAATATTCATTCTTTAAATTAGCTATCCTTTTTTTTTTTCTTTTTTTCTCTTGCATAGGGCCTGAACTCAGGACTTAGGCTATCCCTGAGCTCTACCACTTTAAGCCACAGCTGTGCTTCTCATTTTTTGACTGGTTACTGAAGATAAGAGTCTCATGGGAACTTTTTTGCTGGGGCTGGCTTTGAACTGCAATCCTCAGATCTTAGCCTCCTGAGTAGCTGTTAGGCTTCCAGGCAAGACCCACCAGCATCCAGCAGGTTTCTTATTTTTTATAGTATCAGATGTCAATATACCTACCCACTGAGGATAATTATCACAGAATCATCTTGATTTTATTTCCTTTATCTCATTCATTCCTGTCTTTTCTGAAGTAACATTCATAAGCCATCCCAACTTTGTATTTTTATGTTTACTTCTCTCATCCAGGATCCTTATTTTATCCTTGAATTAGGTTATACTGTCATAAACTTTTAAAATGTCCAATTGTAGGTTGCCTGTGTTCTAAGCTAGCAACAAAGATGGTCAGATGAATAAGGATATTGTAGTTTGTGGGTTCTGTAGTGTTTGGTTAGAGTTCAGTTCGCTGTTTTAGTTTGTCATACGTGGTCTAGTTTTTTTCTACCATGTATCTGCTGATAACACATAGAAGTATTTCTGAGTCGGGAGCAGGTGTGTGGAACAAAGATGGGAAGAAATGAGTTTACACTAGTGGCCTTGCTATGGCACCTACCCTCTAGAGGAGCAAAGTGGAAACAGGCAGGCCCCTGGAGTCATGGAGCGTGGTCTGGCAGAGAGTAGTGTTCATGTGCTGCTGTCTGCTTTCAAGACTGTGAATTCCTTAACTCTTCAGGGATCACTAGGTGATACAAAAAGAAAAGAAGAAAATTGGGGGGTGGGAGCCAGTAATATTTTTACTGCTACCGTGAGCTTTCAAGGAACTTTAATGAGAGGAATCAATGTAGACAGAATGGAGAGTGAATGTGCCAGTGGATTCTCTGCACTTCATTCTATCTTATGAACCATTGTTATGCTCATTCTTAGAAAATACTAACTTAATGCCTGTATTCTGTTGACCTAGCCATTCCTAAGGCTCTCATTACTGATAGGATCTGGTCTCATCAACGGACTTGCTTTGCTCTACCTTTCGAACTTTAGTATTTACTGTTCAGTTCAAAACTTCCTTGTCATTTGGACTTGGCTCATTCATTTCTAGAATATAATCTGGTTTTTATGTGTGTGCGTACACACACACATACACACACATACCTTCAAATCTTTTTCATTTCAAGCCCTAACACTTCTATGGGAACTGATATATAGCTTTATCAAGTCTTTTTGTTTCATAATATGTCTGCATGTGTGTGCTTTCCTCCCTTCTCATTCTTTTATGTCCCTAGTACTTTTAAGCCCTACCACCCTTTGTTAATCTTATTGGATTGTATCTGTACATTTGTTGGCTATTTAATGTTGGTCTTACCTTGTTTAGATTGTAAGCTCCTAGAGAGCAGAAATAATGTCTTCATGATGTTTATTATTTCTCGGATACTTAATAAATTCTCATGGAATGACTTATTTTGAAGTTTATGACTTAAAGTTACATTTATAAATTGGGTGAACTAAGGAGTACAGCTCATGAGCAATGATTGACACTTATCCTCCCTTATTAGGTGAGATTAAACACTTGATGTATAGTTAAGGTGCTACTATCACATAAATTCTATACATTTATTTTCAATTAAAAGATACTCAGTGAAGCCTGTTATTAGGGCATAGGACTTAGCCCTTGCTACCTCATGATGCCAGAATCAAGTAGGGAGAAGTGAAAGAAATAAAAATGAGTGGAGAATAATGAAGGAGGTGTTAATTAGGGAAAACCATTGTTTTGTGGAAGAATTCTTTTTTTGTTGTTGTTGTTTATGGGGCCTGAACTCTGGGCCTGGGCGCTCTCCCTCAACTCTTCAGCTCGAGGCTAGTGCGCTACCACTTGAGCCATAGTGCTACTTCTGGCTTTTTCTGCTTATGTGGTACTTGAGGAATCAGACCCAGGGCCTCATGCATGCAAGGCAAGCACTCTACCACTGAGCTACCTTCCCAACACCCCTCCCCCCCCCCACTAATTTTTGTAGAGGAATTCTTTTTTTTTTTTTTGGATCCGGTCGTGGGGCCTGAACTCTGGGCCTGGGTGCTGTCCCTCAGCTCTTCAGCTCAAGGCTAGCGCTCTACCACTTGAGCCACAGCGCCACTTCCGGCTTTTTTCTTTTTGCTTATGTGGTGCTGAGGAATCGAATCCAGGGCCTCAGGCATGCAAGGCAAGCGCTCTACCACTGAGCCACCTTCCCAGCTGTAGAGGAATTCTTAACATAAAATTTCATCTAGTACATTAGACTACCTTGCCCTGTTTTTCTTTTCTGCTTTCCTAATTTTGTTTTTTATTATAGAAACTTTCTAAGGACTAACACTTCTTCACTCAACATGGTTCTATAAAAATTTTTAACATGCAGTTCTTTTAAAATTTATCATCTTTCTAGTTTTGTCTTTCAGCTTTTCATTAGTTCTGCACAAATGAATCCCAGTAATAAAAAAGTAAGTTATAATCCATGTCATTCAGGATCCATAATATAAAAATATGAGAAAGGCTTAGTAAGTAGATAGTATCATTCAGTTACAAATATTTTAAAATACATTTTTACCTAGTATGTTTTGAACAAGATAGATGAAAAGTTAGCTTTTTGTTATTCTGGTTTTGCCCAATACTCACACATATGAGATTCACTTAAGTATGACCACACCTGCTGGGAAATCACCTGACCATCCTTGGCCTGTTCAGGTATATTGTTGAAATAAGTAATTATAGAAAAATTTTTTTCATACTTTGTAAACTGCATTTTATTCCTTTGTAAATAACTTCTCAGCTTTTATTTAATTGGGAATTACTGATACCCATATTCTTGTATAATTTCTTCATTTTATTGGCATATTGAAAAAAATTGTACTCATTGGAGGAAAGGCTGGTTAAAAGAGTGAAGTTCTGACCTTTTCTTTCTTCAACTATAAAGATTGAAGGTAATAAGAGCATTACTTGGGTTTAGCAAGTGTTAGCAAGCTTTTCAATGAGTATTAAGGGCAGTTACAAGTAAGCATGTGTTTGTAATTGTTTGATTATTTTGTACAGCTTACTGACTAGTGTAATATAGAGTTTTAATTTACACATAATTGTTTAGGAACCTTATTTTTTTGACTACAGAGTAAATCAAGTCTGAATTCCAGTGAAGTCAAGATCTAAAAATGAATACCCCTAAACAAATGAATAAAATCATAAGGTTGAATTTTTATGTTATGTGAGGAAATAACATAAATGTTCTTACTTTTTTTTTTGTTTATGGTATCGGTGATAGAACTCAGGGCCTTGCTATGCTGGGACTCTACTACATGAGCCACACCTCCAGCTTAAATGTTTGCTAGTTATTTTGAAGGTGTATTTCACTGAACCTTCTTATCTGCACTGGCCTCAGCCTCAGTTTTGTAAATCGGCAGAATTATAGGTATGAGCCATAAACCACTGGCACCCTTCTATTACCTTTGTATTATTTATTTTAATTTATTGTCAGAACTTTGGTTTAAATTCAGAGTTCTCACACTTGGTAGTTTGGCCAAGATACCATTGAGCCATGACTCATGACAGATTTTCTGTATGTTTAGCCACCTGTCTAACTGAGAACCTAACACTAAGTTACTGATTATCATTTAGTATTTGGATCATTTAATCAGTGGCTGGCATACTTTTGATGTAAAGAGACAGCTAATAAATACTTTGTTTTACAGGTAACATGTTCTTTGAACTATTTGGGGCTACACTTACATTATAAAAAGTTATGGTATTAAAAAGCAGTTATAGATGATATATAAAATAATTAGATAAAATATAAAAGAACTTTCAATAAGACTTTTTTTTAAACAGATGGTATCCTTAATTTGGCATGTGGACTCTAATATGCTTGTTTTATAGTATAAAATTCTGTGTCTATAGTATGAAAGTCGGTAAATATATATAATTATATTGTCAGTTATATACCTAATGGTCCATGTCATGGGTTAATTTAGTGAACATGCTTTACTGTACATTTATTTCTAGACATTGAGCTATTATTCTTATACTTATACTATTCTGAAATTTTTCAAAGTAGTATAGCAAAATATACTTTCTATAAAACTTAACAAATTAATTTGAGACCAACTTTCATTGAAGTTCTAGTAAAACTGGCATATCATCTATCATTCCATTTTTAATATATATGACATGGTCTATGATATTCTCTCAATCAGGATACTCTGTAGTGCTGCTGTTTAACCACTGCTAATGAATAAGAATTGTCATGGGAGACGAATCTATAGTTCTGGTCCTCATGTTTTTAGAGCATCCACAGTTTAGTATCCTTGGAAATTTTATTTTTACATAATTATTGTGAATGTTAAATGGTGAAATATTTTTATGTAAATACTTGAAATGCTCAGTTTTTATTTGATCATAGGAACATTATCATTTCTGAATCCTGAAAATTTACATTGTATAGTATTATGATGAGCATCCATGGAATTGCAGAAATTAAGTATACAGATGTTTGTTAACACCATACATATTTAACCAGCATTCAGAAATTCCAGGTTTGGAAGTAGTTAGGGCTTAACAGTTATTCATAAAAAGGGACAAAAGAGAAGAGAATCATCTCCTTTGAGTTTGAACATCATTGAAAAGATCTGAAGAATTTAATATCACTAGAGGTTAAATTCATCTGTGCTGCTCAGAAGTAAAGAGAGTGGCGGGGGGGGGGGAAACAATTTAAAAGGTGGGGGAAAAAAAGCTTAAAGAAACAAGAAGAAAATGATAAGAAACGGTGCTTCAACTTTGAGGCTTCCCAGACAGGGCATGTTTTAGTGATGTCATCATGTCATATATTTACCTAATTATAATTATCCTAAATGTTCTGTTTAGGCATGAAAAGTGTAATATGTGTTTTAATTGATACTTGCTTAATGTATTTAATTGCTTCAATAGTTATCTTTCAGTTAGTATTTGAAACTGGTTGTGTTTGGCACATTTCTATCTTTACCTATCTTGTGTTCCCCTGTCAGATAATATTTCATTATGTATATACTAAATCACTTTTTAAGAATGTACTTTTCAGGAATACAAAACAAGAAACAGCGATTTTTACAATTTTTTTTCTTTTAGTCTGAGAATAAAGGATTAGAACCTACGAAGAACAATATAGTTCAGCCAGTTTCAGAAGATGGAAGAAAATCTAAGTCCAAACCAGGTGAGTAAAGAGGTAGTATTAAACTATGTAAGATATTTTTAGTTATTTCAGAAATTTTTTAGAGAAACTAGTATAAGCCAGGGAAAGTCTTGTCATAATCGTTGAATACAATGTTATACCAATTTGACTTTACCTTGTCAAATGGTGTTAGCTTATAGAGAAAAATGAGTTGAAAAACTTGTCTTTTTTTTTGTCAGTTGTGGGGCTTGAACTCTGGGCCTGGACACTGTCCTTGAGCTCTTCAGCTCAGGGCAAGTGCTCTACCACTTGAGCCACTTCCAGTTTTCTAGTAGTTAATTGTAGATGAGTCTCATGGACTTTCCTGCCCAGGCTGGCTTTGAACCACAATCCTCAGGTCTCAGCCTCCTCAGTAGCTAGGATTACAGGTGTGAGTGAGCTGCTGGGGCCTGGATCATTTTGTCTTAATTTTGAGACCTAAAAGAACCTCATTTCTTAATTGAAACACTAACTTTTCTGACTTGTATATTTTAAGATTTGCTAATAAATGTCATGTCATTTCTTGTTTGGGTATATAAAAGTTTTTTCTTTCTGATCTTTATAGATAAGCAACTTATCCAGTATACTGCCTTTCCACTTCTTGCATTCCTTGATGGGAATCCTGCCGCTGCTCTTGAACAAGGGAGTACAACAGCATCATCTGAAGTTATGTCTTGTGTAGATAAACCTATAGAAGTTGATGAGCTTCTGGGTAACAATGTGGACCCAGAACCAACCCAAAGCAAGCTTGTTCGCCTGGAGCCATTGACTGAAGCTGAAGCTAGTGAAGCTACTCTGTTTTATTTATGTGAACTTGCACCTGCACCACTGGATAGTGATATGCCACTTTTAGATAGTTAAATCACCTGGAAGTGGACTCTACATGTACATATTCATCAAAATGATGAAGTATTTATTTTAAGGTATCATTTGGTACTTTCTTTTGTAAATTGTTTTGTTTTAATCAGATACTGTGGAATAAAAGCACCTTTTGCTTTTCTCACCAACCACACATTCTTGCAAAACCTGCAGGTGTTACTCAGTTTTGGAGGTATACAAAATTTAATGCAGATTATTGGCATATCTTTTACGTTGGAGTCACATGGCATTTTTCTCCATTTTTTTACATATATGATTATTTGCTCCAGTTAAACTTCCATTTTTTGTTTGATGCTGTTTGCATTTGACTGTAAAGTCAATAGAACTAATAGTAAACCTCCTAAAATTTTCTCTGTTCCAGTTACTTTTATTAAAAATTTTTCGCTTGGTTTGTTTTTAAAACTGGGAACATAAAGTGCCTGTATCTTGTAAAGCTTCATTTGTCTCTCTTGGTTCAGAGAAGTTCATTTATGTTCAGAGATGTTTATTCATCTTTTAACAGGAAAGGCAAAGTGTACACAAGTGTTCACGGATACTGTTCCAGCTCCCTATGTGTAGAAAGACTGTGGGATGGGGTTGGAAACAACCCCGTCTGCTTTTCACTTAGATTAGTATAAGTAATAAAAGTTTTCTGGTTTGTGTTTTTATGAAGTATAATATTTAGTAAAATAAATAGAATGAAAGTTGAGTACTAGTATTTGTTATGTGTCTTCTTTGGAGGTGAGTTGATAGCTACCTGAAATATTTTCCAACTTACAGGAAGAAGTTTGCTTTAAGCTGTCTCTTGTCCATTATCATCTTAATGTGAGACACATCAAGATGTTTGCCTCATGTGAAAAAAAACACCTTATATTGCAGCATTTCTATATTTAATTTTATTTATGCAGTATTATATCCAGGTCCTTGTGCATGCCATGCACGTACTCTACCACTGAGCCACATTCACAGTCCTTTTCTTAAAATGTATTTTGAAGTTCTTTGTTTCAAGATTATACAGGGTTGCACTCTGTTCTTTTTTTCTTTTTGTTGGTCGTGGAGCTTGAACTCTGGGCCTGTGTGCTGTCCCTAAGCTCTTCAACTCAAGGCAAGCGCTCTACCATAGTAGCATTTCCGTTTTCTGGTGGTTTATTTGAGATAAAAGTCTCACAGATTTTCCTGCCCTGCCTGGCTTTGAATTGAAATCCTCAGATCTCGGCCTCCTGTGTAGCTAGGATTACGGGCATGAGCCACTGGCACCCTGCTCATTCTGTTCTTAATAAAGAACTGGAATATACCTCCCATTGTTGCAGCTGAGCTAAGATCATTATCACTGATTGTCACTAAACCTCTACAACCTTTGCCCTGAGAGATGATAGAAATAGCCAAAATACCTCCTTCTTTTGGCGCAATACTTATATAATTTGAGAGACCACCAGGTTCCAGACAACCAGCATCTGCCTTGTTCCTATTTTTGTTTTTGTCAACATAAAGTCATAAGAAACTTCATTTGTTAATATCAAATAATGAATGAGAAAGGAATTTTGTTCCAGAATATTATGCTATAACTTTTTCAAAATTATGTACCAGAATTCACTAATTACCAAGTTACGTTTATGTTCTGTTAGTTGGTAACTTAGAATCAGATCACTTTTAATTTTCTTGAAAACAAAAGCAAAACAAAATCAGATAATTATGAACAAATTTGAAAAAAAACAAAGTAGACATTAATAGTTATGTTAACCCTATAACTACCAAGTAATATGAGTAAAGATGCAATTTTTTCAGTAACCATTAACATGCTTCCATATGAAATATAATAACAATGTATTCATGATAGGATAAACATATATACATGAAGGAAACAAGGATATAAATGATAGGGAGGATTTATGACTTCCTTTTGTTATTATTAGGTATTCAACATTGCCCCTGAAACAGTCTGGTAACATTTGAAAATGAAGGGAAGAAAGACTGATTAAAAAAAAAAACAACAAAAACAGGACTGGGAAGATGGCTCAGTGGTAGAGTGCTTGCCTTGCATGCATGAGGTCCTGGGTTCAATTCCTCAGCACCACATAAACAGAAAAGGCTGGAAGTAGTGCTGGGGCTCAAGTGACAGTGCTAGCCTTGAGCTGAAGAGTTGAGGGACAGCACCCAGGCCCAGAGTTTAGACCCCACAAATGACCGAAAACAAGACAAGAACTAAAATTACAAGAGCAGGAAAACTGGAAGGCAAAAGTAGAAGAGCAACCAATAGAAAACAGTCCTAATACTGTACAGTAGTGTTGGAGTGGATTAAAAACTCAGGTTATTAGTTAAAATTTTTTTAAATGTGTACACATGTACAAATTAAAAGTAAATAGAGCTAAGTGTTGGTGGCTCACACCTGTAACTCTAGCTACTCAGGAAGCTGAGATCTGAGGATCTAAGTTCAAAGTCAGTACTGGAAAGATATGTGAGGCTTTTATCTCCAGTTAAAATCAAGAAAAGCCAGAAATGGAGCTGTGGCTCAAATGGTAGAGCACTATCCTTGAACAAGGTCAAGGACAATGCCTAACCATGAATTCGAGCCCTAGGGACTGCACTCAAAAAAAATCCCCCCAAATATAAAGTAAATAGAAAAAAAAATACTGCTAGTAACTAATCATAAGAAAGCATGAGTAGGGCTGGGAAGGTGGCTCAGTGGTTAAAGCACTTGCCTTGCATACCTGAGGCCCTGGGTTCGATTCCTCAGCACCACATAAGCAAAAAGAAAAAAAGCCAGAAGTGGTGCTATGGCTCAAGGGGTAGAGTGCTAGCCTTGAGCTGAAGATCTGAGGGACAGCGCCCAAGCCCAGAGTTCAAGCCCACGACTGGACCCCCCCCCAAAAAAGCATGAGTAGTTATATTTTAGATACTATGATATAGAACAAGAATTATTAGGAATAAAGAGGCATTACAAAGTAAGTCCATTGTTTTAAAAAAGACCTTTAAATCTTTAATGAATTTGCAGCTTACTAACTTTAGAGACAAATAGATGAATCCACTATGCCAGTTACAGACTACTTGTATAAATTGTATACCTCCAGCCCACAGAAAATCTTAAACCATTATATCTAATAGTACACATTCTTCTCTCAGTTACATAGAATAACCACTCATCCAAGTCATGTTTTGAACCATAAAAGGATAACTTAAGTTTTTTCTAAACTTACAGATTTCCTGATCATCATAAGCTAGTATTCTTTCTTACTCCCTCTCTTTGTTTGGAGACAAGGTCTTGCTATGTAGCCTAGTCTGGCCTCAAACTTGGATTCTTTAGCTTCAGCGCCCCTAGTACTGGGATTACAAGTTTGCTCTATAATACCCAGCTTAAGTTTATGAAAAACGTAAGTTTATGTAATGGGAAAGTTGATCAGAATACATTGTATAGATATGAGTAAATGTACAACTAATGTATGCTAAGAAAAAAGAAAAAAAAAGTATACCTTAGAAGCTGGGTGCTGGTGGCCTGTAATCCTAGCATCTCAGAAAACTGACCTTCAAAGATCACAGTTTGAACTGAAAAGTCCACAAGACTCATACATCCAATTAACCAGCAGAGCCAGAAGTTGTGGTATGGTAGGATGTGGTAGGATGCTAGTCGTTAACTGGAAAAAACACGGTCCTGAATTCAAGCGGAAATACTGGCACCAAAATAATAGAGTAATTGAGATAATGTGGCATGGACAAAAGACTTGAACAATCAGTGGAACAGAATAGAGAAGACCAGCAAAGACAGTTTTCAGTAAATGGTTCTGGAACAACTGGCATTCACATGTAAAAACCCTCTACAAAATCTCGAGTGGATCACAGAACTGAATGTTGTAAAATGCCAACTATAAAACTCCTGGGATATAACAGTCAAAAATCTAGATGACTTTAAAATTGGTGAGGAATATTATACCTCCTTCCCATGCTAGGAATTGGATTCAGAGCCTTGCACAACACTCTACCACAAAGCTTCATTACCAGGCCTTCTAAAGGCTATAATTTATGAAAGAATTGATTAATGAACAGTCTTGAGAATGAAGACAAGTCAACATTGGGAGAAAATGAACAAAAGTCAGTTCTGATAAAGGAATACTATAAAATACACAAATTCAACAGTAAGAAAACAATGCAGCTTTTTAAAAAATGGATAAATACCTAGACATGGTGGGGGAAGAAACACAGCAAAAACAATTTTTTTTTTGGAGGGTCCAGTCGCGGGGCCTGAACTCTGGGCCTGGGCACTGTCCCTCAGCTCTTCAGCTCAAGGCTAGCACTCTACCACTTGAGCCACAGCGCCACTTCCAGCTTTTTT